TTGTCTGCCGCAGTGCCTCCGCTCCCTCTCCGTAGGTCCCATCCCAGCCACGGAAGCACCCAAATGCCGAGTCAGGTTAGAAATTACCGCCCCGGTCTCCCCGGTGAGCTCTTTCCACCGGCGGGGATGGCTGCACGGTGCTTGGAAGCAGCTGGACAAGTCTTGCCTGCGCCGATCTGCCCTCCCTCTGAAATTATCCTGCTCGGGTCTCTTTTGGGGTGCGGGTTCAAGCCGCTGGCGTGGTTTTGCCGCGGTTCCATGCAGGGATCTGCCTCGATTTCCCCATCCTGACGCAGCACCGATGGTTTCTCCCCGGAAAACAGGGAGAGGGGGACCGGTGAAGTTGCGTTTCCCCTCCAGGATATCGCATGGCTCGGGTTGCGGCTTGGTTTTGGCAGTAAAAACCTCTTCCCGCTTCATCTTCCTCCTCCTCTTCATCAATGTGCCAGGAATTGGCGCTTTCCGAAGGCAGGAGATGCCCCCAGCTTGAGGGCCGAGCATCCAGCAGGGATGGTTTAGGCCCACGGTGTTTGTCCCGGTGCCACCGGTACCGCGATATCCGGGAGCGCGTCTTCATCCAGAGCCCTTCCTCCTCCCGAAGGCTTGGCCGCTGCAGCGCGAGGGAGACTCGCCGCTTCCCGGGGACACGGGCAGGGAAGGGACACGAGCGTCCACGTTATCCCAGTGCTCCGGACTATGGCTCTGCCATCGGCCCCACCGGGAAGCCCTCCAGCTCTCCGCAGCCCCCCCGGCTGTTGCGTTTTCCTGGGGTACCCCGATGCGTTCGAGCCTGCTTCCGATTTTGGGCAGGGATCGGCTTTGCCGCTGTGGGCTGCGTCCATCCGTCCCGTCCGTTTGTTGAGCAACGCCGGTCTTTCTTCTCTCTCTTTCTCCGCAGCCTCGGGTTCGGAGCCGGTGCGAGATATCCGCTGCGAATTTTGCGGCGAATATTTCGAAAACCGGAAAGGTTTGTCAAGCCACGCTCGATCTCACCTCCGCCAAATGGGGGTGACCGAGTGGTCGGTCAACGGTTCGCCCATCGATACGCTACGGGAAATCCTCAAGAAGAAATCCAAACCCTG